GAAACTGTTCTTGCCTGGACTGCTTGATGAACTGGACATGCAGGACCCACAGAGAAATGACTGCTGAACTTGCCTAAAGGTGAGGCTGTCCTTTGGGGTTCCTGCTTCATGAAAAAGTCTGCCAGACATTCTGCAGGATACAGAAGACAAACTGCCAATATAGGCGAAACTGTCTTTGAAATTTCCTGCTTCGTAGAAAAGTCTGCTGAATATTATGGGCCTGTAGGGTGAAGATGGATGCTCCAATGGTACAGAAGAACTTTGGATGACTATTTAGGCAACAAGATGTTTCTGTCAATTCTAGATTTTGGAAGTTGCTTACAATGCACTTGTTGCTAACTTGGGTAATATATCCTTCTGGAGTCTTTGATGAAGTTGAAGAATAGATAGTTATTATTATAGTTTTCCTTAGTTATGATAAAATATAAAGTAGATATAAATATTGTAATTGTAATTCTTGTTTGATACCTGTTTTGTTATATGTAATTTTACTATGTTAAAGTTAAAATCTTCCTTTTATTTAAAAAGAAAAGGGGAGGTGATGTGGGATTCCCCTCTGTATGCTTTGAATATGATTAATTAATTTAAAAAAACTGGCTTGGCCTGATAGGGTAGAATAGAGCTAGGTGGGGAAAACTAAACTGAATGCTGGGAGAAAGAAGGGCAGAGTCAGAGAGAAGCCATGGAACCCCACTGAAGCCAGATGGAACTTAACCTGGTAAGCCAATACCATGTAGCAATACACAGCTTACTAGAAATTGGTTAAATTAAAATGTAAGAGTTAGCCAATAAGAAGTTAAAGCTAATGGGCCAAGCAGTGTTTTAAATAATATAGTATCTGTGTGGTTATTTTGGTTCTGGGTGGCTGGGATGAACAAGCAGCCTCCTTCTATACATGTGTGAAACAATCGAATCATGTGTTCAGACTTGAATCCCATCTTCAAAGTATCATATCATTTACATACAAAAATATATAATATTTTTTTAAATGTGAAACCTGTCAGGGATGTGACCTGCAAATCCTGAAACATGCTATATGAAAATAGCTCCGACTCCTACTGTGGACCTGTTCAGAGAGAGTACAACCCGGATAAAAGAGGGAAAGTAAGAGGTCACAACCCAGGGGTGGTGGCAAGACTACTAGTTTGAAGCCTGGCATGGAGGCAAATGCCTTTACCCCAGCACTTGGGGAGACAGAGGAAGCCAATCTCCGAACTCAAGGCCAGTTGGACTATACAGTGAGTTCCAGTTAACATAGTGAGGCCAGTCTAACCTAGTGTGAGACTCAGAACCTAAGGAATTCTCTCTGTTCCATTTTCATAAAGAGGCCAAAGACATTAGAATTCTTCTCCTGACACTTTCTAAAAAGACACAAAACATGTCTAATTAAATACTCACTGTTAACTACTGTTATCCCATTAGTTATAAGTTATGTTAAAGATGTAGTAGCTAGGAGTATAGGTCAGTGATAGAGCACTTGGCTAGTAGTTATGATATCCTGGGTTCCATCCTTAGTGCATACACACACACACACACACACACACACACACACACAGGGGGAGAGGGAGACAGAGAGAGAGAACGCGCGAGGTCCTTTGGGTTCCAGCATCAAGGCCCTCCTTAGGGTTCAGATTGGACACTACAGCAAGTAGTGCGAGTCTAGGTGAATCCTTGGAGCTCCCTGGCCATCCAGCCTAGCCCACTGATGAACTTCAGACTCATTAAAGAGACACTGACTCATATAATAAAGGTGGAGAGCGATAGAGAGAAGAAACCTAACTTGGGTCTTGGCCTCCACACAAGCAGGTGAGCCTGCAGACACTGGTACACACACAGACACAGACACACACAGACACAGACACACACACACACACACTATAGGTATATACCTCACATTACACAAAATAAAATAGAAAAGGAAGGAAGAGAAGAAATACTGGTCTGTGGGGCTGGAGAAATGGCTCAGCGGTTAAGAGCACTGACTGCTCTTCCAGAGGTCCTGAGTTCAATTCCCAGCAACCACGTGGTGGCTCACAATCACCTATAATGAGATCTAGTGCCCTCTTCTGGCCTACAGACAGGATACTGTATAAATAAATAAATACATTTACAAAGAAAAAGAAAAAAGAAGTACTGGTCTGTGTGTGCCTCTCATTCTGGTGCAGCTCGGTGGATGCTTATTGATTGCCAAGTAACAGAGAACTGCCTCTGGCTTATTGTCTAGCTTGAAAGAAGGAACCGGTTTTGCCTCCTGGGCCCATTAAGAATTACGACTAGCTTATTGTTCGGTGGGGGATCTTGTATCCAAGCCAATGAATAGTTAATTTAATGTCTGACCAGTAGGGTTTTCTCCTCTGGCTGGAAAGTTAATTCCCAGGTTATCCATACATTATGCATAGATTGCTTTGGCCTGGTTCTCTGGCACTGAAGCCCCTCCCAAGAAGATCAGGAAAGACAGGAGTGCGAGAGACAGGACTGGAGGTCAAAGACCCTGTCTAGAGCTTCTCTCCTGAACTGCAGGCATGAGGAGCCTCTAGGCCAAAGGAAGTCAACTCTCTCTTTGGCTTTCCAGCAGGTTCATGATGCTCCAGTCTGCCGCCCACTGCTCTGAGCTCAGAAGTAATTAATCCCTCTTGTCTCCTGCAAGACAAGGCATCTCAGGTTTTCAAGATTAGACATCACTTGAGTTGGTTCAGGTATTTTGGAAAACAGTTAAAAATTCTTAGAAAGTTAAACATGCGTTGGCGCATGACCCAGCCATCCCGTCTCCAGGTACTTACCTAGCATCTGTCCACACGAAGCCTGGTGCCTGATGTGTTCCTGGCAGCCTTACTGCAATAGCCCCAAACAAAGACAACCCAAGAGAACGCACAGCTGCATGGATGAACTCGCAGTGGGACATCCAAGTAATGGAGTCTACTCCCTCACAAGAGCAACTGAGGTCCTGGTATAGATAAAAGCATGGCTGAATCTCAAAACTGTGGCATGAAGTAAAAACTCCAACAGAAAATTCTGAGCCGTTCCATGAAATTAAGCAGAAGGTGGAACTATGATGACGGCAGGCTGGTGTCGTGGTGTGAGGCTGTTAAATGTGGTGGAGGCGGGAGGATCAGGGTTCAAGGTCGTTCTTGGCTGTGGAGCAAATCTGAGGCTTCCCGCAAAACAAAACAACCTAAAATAAATAAATATTGGCTGCAGTTGGCATCAGAAAGGACTAAGAAACTACCTCAAGGAGAAGCCTAGCTGTGCTCCGAATAACCCCTAAGGGCTCCTCTACAGATTCTTCAATTGCTGTATACTGAAACCGGCACTCTGAGAACTGAGGCCTTTTGCTCTTTTGGTGTGCAGGAATCATGTCCCCAGAAAGTCACAAGCAAAATCCTGAAGATGCATGCCCCTCGGGACTCAGGAACTGGCACTCACTTGACCCTCCACAGCATACTTCCAGAAAAGTTGCTAATTATCTATACAGTGTTCTGCTTGCATGTATCCCTGCAGGCCAGGAGAGGGCACCAGATCTCATTATAGATGGGTGTGAGCCACCATGGGGTTGCTATGAATTGAACTCAGGACCTCTGGAAGAGCAGCCAGTGCTCTTAACCTCTGAGCCATCTCTCCAGACCACTTTTGTGAGGTTTAAGAGCTAAAGGAGATGGTGTTCTTCAGGGGGGCTAGTGGGATGGGAGAGAACAGGCAGACCTTTGAGTTCCATCAGACTTGGGATTTGGTGCTGTGTTCTAGGACTGCCTGTCCCAGCAGTTTGCACTCCTCCTCTGGGTGGGGTGGGGAGCCTGGTCCTTCAGGCAGAATGCCGATTTGTTGGTATTTAAGAAACTGGAGGATTAAATGGGTTACAGGCTTCCCTGTCTAGGGCCTCATCCTCTGATGGCTGGAAGCCTATCAAGGGCTCTTAAATTGATAATCACATCTGGGTACTTCAGTCCCTCCCTGTGCAGCCCAGCAGTATTGCGAAACCACAGAGAGGGAGAGAGAGGGGTCAAGGTGGGAAGGCTACGCTGGCATTAATCTGCAGATCAGATTCCTGGGAATTAAACCGAGGACCCACTTTCGGTGTTGCCACCAGCTGACCTTGAACATGTTGTTTCAGCTCAGGATTGTTGGTTTTCTTCGCTCACAAACCAGGACATCACCTGTTCTGGTTATGACATGGGCAAGATAAAAGATATCCCCCCCACCCCATACACACAAAATCGCTGAAGGAGGGTTGGGAATGGAGAGAGTCTTGAAACTGAGTAAAGTGAATAGGATTCAGGGGGTGGAGACAAGAACATCAAAAGTTTAAGGTCATCCTTAGCTACATAGTAAGTTTGAGACTACACTAATTTACACAAGACCCTATTCTTTTTTTAAGGATAGTAAGGAAATAAGTTGAAGGAAAACTAAGAGAATGCATTGAAACAAATGCGCCATCCAGTAGAGTTGTCCTAACAACAACCTGGGTATGGGGTCTGTACTGAGGAAGAATGACCTTGAGGCAGACAGTCTCAGCTTCCTGTGGTTGATCAGTCCGTGAAGGTCTGACCAAACCAAGGAAGAACAAACTCAATAAAACTCCTCCAAGAAAAATAAAAAAGGGGGGGGGCTCGGAATGGAGAGACATTGATATAAACGGGCCAGGAGCTGGGCACACAATTCAGTCAGTAAGGCATGGGGATCATGAGTTTGGATTCCCAGCCTTCACTTGAAAAGCCAGGAGTATGGGGCACATATGTTACCTATGACAGGAAAACAGAGGCAGGTAGACCCCTGATGCTCATTGGCCAGCCATTCTAACGAGATCCAGCTCAGACCCAAGAGACTGCCAGGACGTAGTTAGGCCCCTCCTTCTCAAGTGGAGATCACCCTCCCCCTGTGTCCTCCCTCCTCCTTCCTCTCTCCTCCCTCTTTCAGCGTCGAGTTCCTCCCTCCCGCCCCACAGTCCCTCACCAGCCTTCTCTCCCTTCCCTGCCTAAGTCCCTCCCCATCCTCCACCGTCTTCCAGTCCCTCCCCCTGCTCTTTCCTCACACTCCCCTCCTCCCTCCTCCAGCTTCTTCCCGCCCCGGAGCCCATAGCCGCCCGCGCAGTCTTCTCTCCTCCCGGACGGCGTTGCCGAGCGGGGCGGCCATGGAGGCAGCGGCGCGGAGGCGGCAGCTCCCGGGAGCCGCGGGCGGCCCCGGCGCCACGTTTGTGCAGGCCAGGTGCGCGCGGAGCGGGGATGGGAAGTTGGCGCTGGGCCCCAGAGTTTGAGAGACCTCGTCAGGGTCAGGGGAACCGCAGGGACCCGCTGCTCCGAGGTCACCCCAGCTCGCTCTACTAAGCCCCCGCGCCACTTCCAAGTTTGCGGAAGCCTCCAGATCTGGGCAGATGGTTGACTCTGCTCTTACTCTCTGATTCAGGAGGCTCGGGGGCCCAGGAAAGTGAGCCGGTAACGGGGGACAGCGGGCCGTGGCTTGTTCCCCGTGTTTGGGGTTTATCCAGCTGGGCGGGGCAGAGCCAGACAAAACCCGCCCTTGGATATTTCCCTCCTGTCTGCCTCCCTCCACCCGCTCTACTGATCATAAGCATTCCCGCTTGTCGCCCGTGTTGATTAAGCACTTGTCATGAAAGTCGGAGCCCTCGCAGGTGACAGCCAATCTTGGAGGGCTTTCTGGAGGAGTTGAGCAGTACAGGACTCTGCAGAGGATACTTAAGGCTTGTGAGGCCGGACATGGTGGCTATGTCTTTAATCCCACACGCAGGAGGTAGAGGCAGGTTAGTCGGTAGTGTCTTATACTAGGCAGGAAGCCCTGGGTTCAATCCCCAGCACCGTAGAAACCGGACACGGCAGCCAGTGGAGGAATGTGAGGAAAGGCTAGGGAGTGTGCTGGTGCTGGGCAAGTCACCGCTGTAAGAGAAAATGACGGGGCTGGACTGACTTCGAAGCTCCCTGAGTGCCCCAGAGTTGGACGAAAAGGCCCTAGAGGAGGTACAGAATCTGGATGAGAACAGTCCTGAAGGGAGGCTGCTCATTTCTTGAGCAGTAGGCCCCTTACTTACCTCATACTAAATGACCCATTAAAAAACGTCTACCCCGTCCCACAGAGCCATGAAGGGTTTTGCGCACGCACCTGCTCCACGTGCATTTTAGGAAGTTCCTGGTGTGATTAGGGATGGTGGGAGAAGTTTCCAAGGCTTGGCTGAGGTTTCTCTTGCATTGATCCTGAAGAGTGTGGGGACTGTTTGCTTTTTGACCTGGAAGCCAATTTTCTGAGCCGGTGAAGTCTCGTGCCTGGTAATATTTCTCCCTGGTGGTCATCCTATACGATTTCCATGGCTTAGTAACACAGTAGCCATCTTAGTTTGTGTATCTATCATGTTTGCACTGGGACAGGCTTGTCTGTAGGCTCGTTATTGAGCAACACGTCACTTGATGGTCCATTTATTCCTCTAAATATTACTTCATCATCTCGTTTGATGAGAAAATTGGCCCAGAGCAGGCTAAGGAGCCTGATCAGATTGAGGCTCAGACTGTTTTACGGACCAGAAACAGTCCACAAGTTCCGCAGGCATTTTGTAAGCACCTCTAGTATGCCCTTTGCTGCCCGCCGCACTAAGGAGATCAAAATGATCCTCCACATTTGGGGCTGTCACAGCTGTTTGCTGCATGTTATCCCTGGATTAATCTAAACCTTGGAAGTCAGTATACAGCGTTCACAATATTTAAGTTGTCTTTTGTTTTCTGTTGTTTTGAGAAAGGGTCTTTATTATGTAGCCTTGGCTGATATGGAACTCACTCTATAGACCAGGCTGTCCTGGAACTCACAGAGATCCACCTGCCTCTGCCTCCTGAGTGCTGGGATTAATGGTGTGCACCACCACATCTGGCTCTTGGTTAGCTTTCTTTTCCTCCTTGCTATTGTTTGTCTGCATTTCCTCATTTCTCATCCAAATGTCTCAGTCTCATCACGTCTGGTATTTCATCGTCCTTTACAAAGAGCCCAGAGTCAAGCCCAGAGTGGGTCTCTTTCTATTCCCCCGTCACAGTTGTTTACTTCTCCAGAGGAGCCCTCTTTCCTGCCATCCAGGGTTGCAGATGCTGCTGGGTGATCCTGGCTTCCCTGCTGTCATGGTGTCAGTGTCCCCATGTGGGAAACAGGAAGCTGTGGAGCCAAGGCTGGGCTTGTTCCAGCTGACCCAGCATTGGGCTTTCCCTACTGTCCTCGGTTCTGCCCACTGTTGCTTCTGATGGGGACCTAGGACTAGCGTAGCCTGAGGGGCTTAGCCTGGTAAGTCTGGAATCAGGAACTTGGGACTAGCTTGAGATCACTCATCCTTGGGACAGGAGCTTGGGTGTTGAGGGGAGATCCCTTTACCCTGTATGATCTACCGTCACTGCCAGAGCCCCGACAGAAGAAAACCGTTTAGATGTTAACTAATCCTGTTTAGTGTTTGCTGGTGAGGGAAGGCTTTTACTAGGGTGAGGAAAAGCACACACACACACACACACACACACACACACACACACACACACCCCTGCAGAACAGAGCGGGGATCCTGAAAATCCATGTCTATCAGCCTTGATTCCCAAGCTGGTATCTTCCCTGGCTACCTGTTCTCCCCATCTGCCCTGCTAGGCTAGGCTACACTAATGAGGACCCCAGCAGTCTGTGAAAGTCAGCACTGACAGAGGACCGCCTCTCTGACGCTGCTCAGCTCCTCTGTGCCCGCAGGGGAGGGATATGAGACAGGCCACGGTGCTGGTTTTTAGTCAGCCGGAGCCAGGGACAGAGGTGACAACTCTGGAGGCCACACACAGAGGATAATGAGGCTCCCCCATCATCTTAGAAGTTAGTAGTGTCTCGTCTCTGGGTGGTAACATGCTGTAGGAGGACTCAGACTCTAAGGAGGAGGTTGGAGAGTTGGGGGAACCCTACTGCTCTCTTCTTTTGGGCTGTTGATATTACTCTGTGGGTTGAGGTACCCACTAAGCCTGAAGACCTGAGTTTGATCCCAGGACCCACATGGTGGAAAAGAGAGCAGCCTTGAAACAGTCTTTTTTTTTTTCTTTTTTCTTTTCTTTTTTTTTTTAAAAAAAAAAAAAACAACAAACCCACAGTCTTTTAACCTCCACATGCATGGCATGGCATGTGTGCACGCTCACACACACACACACAAATAAATAGCTATTTGAATTTTATTTATTTATTTATTTATTTATTATTTTTTGTGATAGGGTTTCTCTGTGTAACCCTGGCTGTCCTGGAACTCACTCTTTTGACCAGGCTGGCTTCAAACTCAGAGATTCAACTGGCTCCCCTTCCCACTGCCTCCCCACTGCTGTCCTGCCTCCAGTCCCAGTGCTGGGGTTAAAGTTGTGTACCACCACAGCCAGGCTATTTAGTTTTTTTTCTTTTAAACTCTCCCCTCCTGAGGGCCTAGATGGAAGAACACAACCCCAGCCCCATGCTGCCATGACTGGCCTGAGTTAGTGAGGAAATGCTTGCTCCCTATAGGGCCTAGGGAAAGGCTTTCTCAGAGACGCCCTCCGATAGTAAGTGGCGATGCCCTTGAACTTAAGGGACCAATTGCTTTGTGAGAGGGTCAGGCTCTGGAGATGTGTTGTTTGGTGGTCCCTCTTCCCCCCGTGTTTCTTACACCACAATGTACCTGCTGATTTCTTTCTCAGGCTCTCGTGTGGACTGGTAAGGAAAGTAATAGCAGCCCAGGTACCTCCACACAGTTGAGGAGACAATGTGGAGGGATGCTGTCATGGACCAATCACCATGGACAACTGTGGAATGCAGTTTAAAATACGAACCCTGAGCCAACCGTGGTGACACAAGCCTTTAATCCCATCACTCAGGGAGCAGAGGCAGCCAGATCTCTGAGTTTGAGGCTAACCTGGTCTACCTAGCAAGTTCTAGGACAGCCAGGGCTACATAGGGAAACTCTGAGTCGCAAAAAACATAAATAAATAAATAAATAAATAAATAAATAAATAAATAAATAAATAAATTCAGGCCTAATTTATTTAGACTCCAGTCCTGGGGCAAGAAACTTAGGCTGTTGGATGCTCTTCCACCCACTTACAAAATGAGGGTAACATTCAGATCTGAGTTTCTGTAAGAATGAAAGGAATCAAGTGAGTGGATATGGATGTTATGAATACATAACAAATAAATAAATGAGCTCACACACACAGATTCCCGGGGGATAGTGGGTGCTTTGTGAAGGTGATCTGCAGCTGTCCATCGTCATGCTTGATGGTTTTCATTCATCTTTCATGGTTTGCTTTGTTTTGTTTCCCCGTGATTTTATAATGGAAGCTTCACGGTTACTTCACCCATGGTCAGTTTCTTCCCGAGTCAGAGGGTAGTTAGGACACTAAAATCCACTGTCCTCTTGACCAGACTCGGGGTTTCCTTTCCCTTGATGACATGTATGTCCTGCCTTCAAGTGCCTAGACCTCCTTGTCTTTCCCTTGGGTTGATGGCAAAGGGGGAAGAGAGGACTGAGTCTAGTCTTGTTCCCGCCAGGCATGGCTCTGCGAAGGCTGAGGAGACAGACCACACGGCTCCCTTCCACTTTGACCTCTGGTTCTACTTCACACTGCAGAACTGGGTTCTGGACTTTGGCCGCCCCATTGCCATGGTAAGTGTGAGGCTGAATCCTGTGAGTGTTGAAGGGACTTAATGTGACCTCAGTTTGCCAAGTGACCTTACGGACATCACTTAGGGAGAACCCAGAGGCTCTTACATTCTGTAGTTGTGTGATTGGCCAGTCAAGTGAGTGAGAGAGCCCCGGGTGGGTCCCCATAGTCATCCCCTGAGGTAGAGCATAGCTGCCACCCTCCCTCGCTGGGATAGTCTGGAGGTGAAGCCACCAACTGAATTTTCATATTGTAACTGACCAAAAATAAAGTCATTTCCAAGTAGAGAGAGTAACATGTAGAAATCCCAAAATAAGGAAGTGTTAGATTTCCTGAGGGCTGGGGCGTACCCTTCCACTCCTTTCTGTGTTTATGGAAACGTATATAGAAATTCCTTTTTTTCTAACCAAAAGGAGATTTTGTTTTATACCTTCTATTCTGCACCATGATTGTTTTACATTAGAATATATCTCTATAGCAGCGGTTCTCAACCTGGAGGTTGCGACCCCTTTGGCAAACCTCTATCTTCAAAAATATATACATTACGATTCATAACAACAAAATTATGGTTATGAAGTACCAGTGAAAACAATTTTATGGTTGGGGTCACTATAACACGAGGACCTGTATTGAAGGGCATTAGGAAGGTTGAGAACCATTACTCTAGAGCAATACATACACACTGCTGTTTCTATTAATGGCAACTTAGCCTTCCGTGTATTATAATGTCCTGTTTGAGCTGCATGGTAAAACCCTGTCACAAGACAAAAGAAACCTAACTGCTAAACATTTCCAGCAGAGTGGCAGGTTACAAAGCTAACATAGCCTTCCTCCATACCAGCTACAGACAGACTGGGAAATCAGGGAGACAGTCCCATTCATGGGAGCCTGAGAAAGAAAGCAAAATCCCTGAAAGAAACCTAATCATGGAAGTGAGAGACCTAACCTACATGGTGAAAAGTGCAGACTCCAGCCTGCTCTCCCAATTCAGCAGAATCAAAAAGATGTTAATAGGATAGCATATTTTTGGTTTAAAAAAGACTAAAGGAAAAAGAATCTTTTTCAAATTAGGAAAGATTTTAGATGTGTTTTGTCCTAAGATAAAAGATTAAATAAAATATAAAACAGTAAAAACATTACCGTTATGTAGAGGGCCTAAGACACTCCCTGGGCTTCTGTGTATCAAATAGGACTAGAAACAGTCCATTTGCTGTCTTCGGGACTTCATTTCTCTCTCTGGCAGTCCTTTGGGCCTCGGGCTTCCAAGAGAACATAGGAAGAGCTCAGTGTCTGTGAGGGGGGCTGGTGTTCTGCCACCTGCAGGCCTTGCTGTTAAGCTCATGCCCTCTTCCGTAGTTGGTGTTCCCACTCCAGTGGTTTCCCCTCAACAAGCCGAGTGTCGGGGACTACTTCCACATGGCCTACAATGTCATCACGCCCTTCCTTCTGCTTAAGGTACAGACTGGCCTGTCTCCTTCCCCTCCTCTCTGGTGACACAGAAACACAGACACACACACACACACACACACACACACACACACACACACACTTCATGAGCTCGTGAGCTGGCTTAGGGTACTTGCTGCCAAGCCTGACAGCCTGAATTTCATCCCCACGTGACGAGAAACGACTTCCACAAATCCTCCTCTGACCTTTACATATGGACCCTACATAAATACACGTGCAAATAAATAGATAAGTAAATGTTTCTTCAAAAATTTAAACATGAAAGACATTTCAAATCTCTAAAAGTAGGAGGAGCATCACCTCAGAACACAGCTTCTGTGGTTTTAGAAAACTCACCCCCATTTTGGACTCCCTGACACTATCTTTCTGCTTGCTGGGGACCTGCCATTCAAAAATTAGATCCCAGCAGCATGCTGGCCCACCCAAGGCACACACAGGACACCCTGGGGTTGTGGTAGGGTCTGGCCTGAACTCCTGCCTGGAAGGTCTGGTATCACCTTGAACACTCTCCTCATCCCCCCCACCCTCATCTGATCTTCCTGGAGAGGAAGGGTGATCTTCAGCTGACCCTGCTAGGCTGTCCTACTAAGGAATCCACACCCCTAGAGGGACTTTCTATCCCACGTTTCTGAGGGAAGGGAGGCAGAGGTTTTCATACATTGTAATGGAGTTGGGGACATGCCGTGGACCTTATTCTGAACCCCAGCTCATCGAGCGGTCCTCCCGCACGCTGCCGCGGTCTATAATCTACGTCAGTATCATCACCTTCATCATGGGAGCCAGCATCCACCTGGTGGGCGACTCCGTCAACCACCGCCTGCTCTTCAGTGGGTATCAGCACCACCTGTCCGTCAGAGAGAACCCCATCATCAAGAATCTCAAGCCAGAGACGCTGGTGAGGCTGTCCCCACATCCCCTCTACCAAGGCTGCCCTACTAGGTGTCTGTACTTGGAGACTAAAGAGGCTCCCCAGCCAGTCATCATGTCTCCTGTAGCCCAGGCTGACCACAAATTCTATAAGTAGCCAAGGATGACCTTGATCTCCTGATCCTCTGGCCTCTGCCTCCTGGAGTGCTAGAATCACAAGCATTCAGCTACCTGAGGAAACTGTTGCCTACCCAAAATAGTGTGTTCCTAGGCTGTAAAGGGAAACAGTTCTGTCTGGATGTGGGCACATGTTCGAAACCTTAGACTCAGGAGGGAAAGAGAAAGAGGATTGCTACAAGTTCAAGACCAGCCCAATTTGTACAGTGATACTAACTCAAAAACAAAACAAAAAGGAAGGAAGGAAAGTGGTACAGCAGGGACTGGCTCCCCGTGGCCCCTCTGGTACCCTAGGGAGGGAATGAGGATGGCGTGTGGGAGGTGGTGTTGGTTTCAGGTCTCCGCTCCCTCACCCTGCGCCCCTGTGTTTTCTCAGATCGACTCCTTTGAGCTGCTCTACTACTATGATGAGTACCTGGGCCATTCCATGTGGTGAGTGAGGGGCTGATGGGTCTATGTGCCATCCAGGGCCCAGGCACCAAGAGATACTGGACAAGGCTCCCTGCCCCCCAGGCCTCTGTACTGAGTGGAGCATCTAAAATGGAATTCTCTTCTCAGCGAAAGCGCTCTGAGTGGGACCCCTGGTCAGGGTGACTCAGTTACTTTCCATTGGCCCAAAGGGGATCTCCTATTGCCTCCTCCCTACCTAAAGTTTCCACAGTAGCCACTAGAGGGCAGCAAGCAGGTGTTTGTCCACCTTAGCCATGTCTGGGCGTGGGGTTTGGGAGGGAGCCTTGATAAGCACACTAGAATCTAGCGACTAGATGGTTACCGGTGGGATGCAGGAGACAGATGGGGATATAGGAAGTGGAAAAGAGCCAGTAGGACCTGGTTTGGGTGGCACAATTTGTGTTTCCCATCTTAGAACTCTCAGGAGGGGAAAATCCTCACCACCACCACCCGTTGCTACTCTCAGGAAAATCTCAGAAATATGGGGTCAGAATCAGAGACTCAGAGCTCAAATAAGGGTTTCTCTGCCACCCATCACCTTACACTGAATAAACGGAAGCCAGAGGGAAGAGATGAGGACAGTTGTCAGCTGGGAGGTGATGGGCTAGCTCTGCGCCTAGACGCCTCATCTTGACTGAAGTGCTTCCCTCAGCACATGCCACACACTGGTGTCTGTGGGGCTGTCTGAGGTTGTGGAGATGATCCTTCTGGCTCGGAGGGCGCTAGGGGACCTCTGCACAGGCCTCTTGCCAGTTCCTCCTGACTCTGCCAGATGCCTCTTCCCATTGGAAGCTAAGAAAGAAGGAGGGAGGTGGAACAGGCCTGGGAATTCAGGAGAGGGTGAGGGAGTGGGCTGAGTATAGAAGAGTGTGGGTGTCACATGACATAAGAGGGTTGTGTGTGCAGGAGATCATGAGCCTGTGTGTGTGTGTGTGTGTGTGTGTGTGTGTGTGTGCTGGAAGCAGAAAGGGAGCCTCTGTGTGGGCAGGAGAGAGGCCATACTCTTGGATGAGGTGGAGACTGTTGGCTGGGTGTGAGTGAAGGGCCCCACAGAGCTCCTTGGGATCTCCCAGAACCCTATTCTCTCCGACCTCAGCCCTGCTGGGTGCCCCATTTCCAGACCTAGTGCTGTACTCGACCTGCTGGGATCTAAGGCACTTGGGTTCAAGACAGAACCCCACATCCCCTCATATCCATGTGGAATGAAGGGCAGGGTGGGTACCAGGTTCAGAGCGGGAAACCAGGCATGGTGTGTTTGCCACGGCGCCCACACCCTTCACCTTCGTACTTAACCCAAGGAGCCCAGGTCCCTTCTTTGCACCAGCCTCACCTTTTGGTTCTGTTCCTCCGACCTGGACTCCCAGGGCAGGAAAGGGTTTTATAGACCATGAGGTGACATCCTGTGTGGCAATGCAAGGGACCAGTGGAAAGATGATGGGCCACGCCCTGGTCAGGCCATTTAAGCTGTTGCCGCTCTGTCACAGGTACATCCCCTTCTTCCTCATCCTCTTCATGTACTTCAGTGGCTGTTTTACTACCTCCAAGACTCAGAGCCACATGCCAAGGTCTGCCCTGCTCCTGGTGGGGCCCAGTGGCCTGTACTACTGGTAAGTGGACATTGACACTTGGGGTGGGACAAAGGGCACAGACACTGGATGAGCCACCACGATAAGATCCACAAACAGCATTGGGTGTGACGACCCTCTTCTGTCATCTTAGCACTTGGGAGGTGGAGGCAGGAGGATCAGGAGTCAAAGGTGAGCATTGGCTACATAATGAGTTTGAGGCCATGCTAGTCTACATGGATCCTGTCTTTAAAAAAAAAAAAAATCACAGGCCTGCAGTGTGACCCCAGGTAAGACTTGCCATGCCTAGGCCTCTGCTTCCTCCTGGGTTGAGTGAGGCCTGTGCCTTGTAGCGGCTTCTCTGAAATCGGATGCTCAGCACTAAGTAAACAGTGAGAGACAGGAGGCCATCCACCATGCCCTACCTCCCAGCACGTCCACACCACCTTGAGGCCAGGTGTCTACCACTAGCTTCATGCCTTGTGAATCCTCCTGAGCCTCAGTTTACCTCTCTGAAATGGAAGTTACACCTGCCTGTCCTCCTCTCGGGAGATGTTAGGATCCATTGGGGAGAGAAGAACACGGCAGTGACAAGATGACAAGGACAGACCAGGGAGACAGTCTCAGCCTAGCCCTGCCTCTCCCGGGGACCCTTCTGCACTCTAGACTCCCCTCTCAGACCTCAGCCAGACACCAGACCCTTATCTCCCCATCATTTCTTCCTTTGAGACAGGTCTTTCTCTCACACCCAAAGGGCTGTGGGATTACAGGAAGGACCCAGAACAACTGAGCCCTCCTGGGATGGGAAGCCCCTCTCCTTGGGCCAGCTCTAGCCATTTCCAGGGTCTGTCTAGCTTGCAAGAGGGCCCTCTGGGGCTAACCTATGTTCTCCCTGAGGATAGGACTAGGGATAGTGGCATCTATACCAGGGAGAAAGACTTGGCCTGGGCATGTTCGTTGCCACAGTCTTACCTTGATATGTCTGTGCAACAGTGGTGGAATCACAGCAGTGCACCATCCGCTGAACAATGTGCTTTCCCAGCTAGCAGATGCACACAGCCCTTGTGGGACACCTTAAGAAGTGAGGCTGTTTATGCTTCCCTCATAAGAGACAAAGTGGCCTTGATGTTGTCTTTCAAAGTTGTCACTTGATGTCCCCAAGGTGCCAGGCCAATAGGTTGTAGAGCTGGAGTTCCTTATGCCCTGCAGTGGTGCATGCCTTTAATTCCAGCACTCAGGAGGCAGAGGCAGGTGGATCTCTGTGAGTTCAAGGCCAGCGTGGTCTGCAAGAACTAGTTCCAGGACAGCTAGGACTGTTACTCAGAGAAATCCTGTCTTGAAATGACGGTGGCCCAGCCAAGGGGACAGTAATGACAATAGCCTCCGTATACTGGGATGGCATCCCCAAACTCAGATGCCTCCAGAAGCGAAGCAGGTAGCAGATGAGGCCCCAGGAAGTGTGGGAACTGAGGCCATGTACGTCATGGTGTTCTCTGCAAAGAACATCCTGTCGCTCCTCCAGAGCCGGTTTTGGTCATGTGGAAGTGTCCTATGTGCTAGAATGCCAGAAACCAAAGCCAGGGGCCTTCTGATTCTCAGTGTGTAGGCTTGGAACTTGCTGTGTGGTAACCAGAGACCTCTTGCCTCTGCCTTCTAAGTGCCGCATAAACATGTGAGCCACCGCACCCAGCTGACTATTATTATTATTATTATTATTATTATCATTTTGAAACAGTCTATGTAGCCTTGGCTGTCCTGTAACTCACTATGTAGACCATGCTGGCCTCAAACTCACAAACATCTGCCTGCCTCTGCCTCCCTAGTGCTAGGATGAAAGACATGTGCCACCATGGCCTGACTGTCAGTAGAGTATTATTAAACCACTTAAAGCCAAAGTAGTACGATGCCTCCAGGCTGTGGTTTAGACTGTCCTGGCACATTGGGTCCTCTCACTAGGAGAGCCATTCTGATTGCCTGGGAGGACAACCTAGCACTTGGTCCAGAGGGAGAACAGGCAGGATGCTGTTGCCCTGGCGCCCACCTCACCTCCATGCCTGTCCTCTTTCTCCAGGTACCTGGTCACCGAGGGTCAGATCTTCATTCTCTTCATCTTCACCTTCTTCGCCATGCTGGCTCTCGTCTTCCACCAGAAGCGTAGGCGCCTCTTCCTAGACAGCAATGGCCTCTTCCTCTTCTATTCCTTCGCCCTCACCCTCTCCCTGGTGGCGCTGTGGGTTGCCTGGCTGTGGAATGACCCTGTCCTCCGAAAGAAGTACCCTGGTGTCATCTATGTCCCCGAGCCCTGGGCCTTCTACACGCTCCACGTCAGCAGTCAGCACTGAGGCTGCCTGGGAGCAACAGGCCATGGATATTTGTACATGGGTGCACATGTGCATCATGGGAATGCGGGCTGTGCACTATGCCCTGTGCACAGGGATTGGCAGAGTGCACTGTTGAGAGACTCAGCTGCCTTGGTCAGGGTCTTTTGTTTGTTTTTTTGCTTTGGACTTAAGATGGAATTTAGTTTGGGGAAGTATATGAAGGCCAAGATCCTGGCCCCTGCCCTCCCTGTATTACACTATTAGAGGTGCCTGAGGAACACTCCTATCTCCCAGGACCCAGGCTGGCCTTCCGGTGGCCATGCTGGTGAAGTCTGGGCAGGGCAGAAGCAGAAGACTGCCACCTACCCAGAAGCTGGCTATCCCTGAAGCCACCTGCCCCTGGACCCTAGGTTTCTATGTCAGTGTCTAAGCCACAGCTTCTGTTCTTTGAACAGAGCATTTCCATCTCTGGGCCTCACTTGTTCTAGAGGGCCCTGTGGTCCCTAAGTGGCTCCATGGACTGGGGGTTACTGATTCCGCTGGTGCAGCCTCAGCACGGAAGTCTGTTACTGTGTCCTCACCCTCAGCCTAGTGGGGCACGTTCCTCCCATTCTTGTCCGGCCTCAGACCCCACTCACATACTGCTGAGAACCCAGTCTCCAGGCAGCCACAGGCCCAGCTCCAGGTCACTTAGCCATTGAACTCTGGAAACTGGCCTGGGTTTTGAACTACATGGAGGATAGAGTTCTCAAAGCCTAGTTTTATAGATTCTGAGACCCGTTGTAAGGGTCTGGGACATTACAAATCTGTCTCTCGAGACATCGCATCTCAACCTGAATCCCTCACCACCTGCCTGGTGCCTTTGTTCCCAGCATGGCGGTTCCTGCCTCGCCCTAGCCCACCTCCTCCCAGGCCTCAGATACAGGGCTCCATGGCACAGGATACCACCACCTCATTTGGCAGCCAGCACTGGCCTGTGCTGGGAGTCTTGGGGACACTCCTACTGTGCATTCTTTCCTTTTGCTCTCAGGGAACACTGGGCCTCAGATTCTTCTATTTTGTTGTGATCCTTCTACAGGCTAGACGATGCTGGGTCGGTCCTTCTACAGGCTAGACTGTGCTGGGTGGGTCCTTCTACAGGCTAGACCATGCTGGGTGGGTCCTTCTACAGGCTAGACCATGCTGAGTAACAAGAGGTCTGAATAAAGGTTGATGTGGAGCCCAGCCTGGCTGGTGGCTGTTTTACCTTCGGGAGTGTGGTGGGGAGGCAAGAGGGAGTTCTGGAATAGGGAGGGAGACTGGTTGGTCTGGGGCCTAGGCTGTAGGGTATGAGGCTTTCTCTCAGTAGGCCTTGAGGACCCTCTCACCCCCACCCTCATCTACCTAACACCTAGAGCAGTGATTCTCAACCTGTGGGTTGAGCCCATATTTCCGATGGTCTTAGGAACTGAGAAACCACTTCGCAAATTACAGTTATGAAGTAGCAGCAAAAATAATCCTATGGTTGGGGGTTACCACAACACGAAGAACTTTGTTAAAGTCACAGCTTTAGGAAGGGTGAGAACCACTCAGATTGTGGGTAAGAAGGATCGCTTCCCAGTCAGTACAGTGTTCCTCAGAGGAGCCTAGGCCGTGAGGGGAAGTAGAGCATCCCAGCCTATCTCTGTCCCACCAGTCATCCCCTGTGCTGGGAGGCAGTGGAAAACTACTCTGTAGGAGGTGGCCCTGAGCCTCAGGCAGGCTAACTGTGCTCTTGGAAGTCCTTTAGGCTCTTGGTGGACATGGATTCCGGGCACACCAGTTAGCTCAGGAGAAGCCTGAAGCAAAAAGGCACTTAGGATGGAGGTGGAGAGGGCAAAGTCAGAGGGCAGCCTCTTGCTCTTGCACGTTTCACCCAGCAGGCCCGTGGGAAGCCTGCTAAGACTCTCTCTCTCGGGGCAGGGGTGGGAGTAGGGTGGGCTAAGGACTGCCCTGTCAGTCCCCAACAGTGTGAATGGCAGGGGCCCTTAGCTAGGAGAGCTTGGCTGAAGAACACAGTTCCATAAAGAAAGGGGCAAGAGGACGAGCCTGCTGTCTGCATCTCTTTCAAGGGGGAATTTAGGGGGACAGGGCTAGGGTCAGGAAGTTAGTCTCCTGTAGTCCAGGCTGGCTTTGAACTCACTCAGATCCTCCTACCTTTAGCTTCTTGCTGGAGTGACAGGAATGCATAGTATGATTTATGCAGGGCGGTGGATCGAACCCAGGGCTTGTACACTAGCAAATGTTCTACCAATCGAACCTTATCCTGAGCCCGCATGTAGCCTAAGGCATTCCCTGTAGGCTCTTCTGTGGCCTGAGTGGGGAGGAGGTGCCACTTGCCTAAAGTCCCTTCCACAGGGAGGGGGCTTAGTCCGGAGTGTAAGATGAGGGAAGAGATCCACCAGAAGCTGGTGGTGCCCAGGGGAGGTGCCAGCCCCAGCCAGGAGGACCATGTTTCAAGAATAAAGTGAATACACAGCCCCACGTGGTCCTGGCGTGGCTTTCTGTTCCTGTTCACGCGAAGAGTCACATATGCAGAGTACGTGTAGCCCAGTAGGCACACGCCACGAGTCCACGTGCAGTCAGGCTCGGAGCAGGTGTTTTGAGACAGCTGAAACAGCATGTGAGACATCCTCCGTCACCTACAGATAGAGGGAACTGGGTGTTGCCGCAGCTACCTGCCGTGTACTTGGGAGGTAGAGGGGGGAAGATCAAGAGTTCCAAGTTGTCCTCAACTACGCAGTGAGTGAGTTTGAGGGCAGCCTAGGCCATGAGCTCTGTCTCAAAACAACGAATGGGGGGCTGGAGGGATGGCTCAGTGAGCACTTCCTAATTTCTCAGAGGACCTAGAACTGCAGCTTCAGGAGCTCTGACTTCCTTTCCTGGCCTCTGTGGACTCCTGTACTCACATGTACACACAGACATGCAAACATACACATAGTTAAAAGTATATTTTAAAATGTGTCTTTCTGTCTGGTGGCAGCCATCAGATCTGGTGAGTCAAGGTGGGTACATCTGAGTACAGACAGTGATTCTCAACTGTGGGATGCGACCCCTTTGGGGGTCCTGTGACTCTTTCACAAGGGTCACAGATAACCTGCATATCAGATATTTGCATTACAATTCATAACACTAGCAAAATTACAGTTATGAGGCAGCAACAAAAACAAATGTATTGTCTGGGTCAGCACAGCATGCGGAACTGTGCTCAAGGGTTGCAGTGTTAGGAAGGGTGAGAACCACTGCTCTAGAGGAAGAACAGGTCTGACGCGATGCATTTTCTTCAGGAGTCCGCTGCTAGCTGCATTACCAACTCTATGCTATATGGGATTCCCTGTCCTCGTCGCCCCGCCCACAACCATACAGCAAACGGTACTTTACGAGGCTAAGCAAAATTACATCAGATGCAGAACTTCATACTCATAGGCGCAACTGCAAAGACCCAGTTTCTTAAAGGCAAGCCTGACCGTCATAGTGCTAAGCAGCTAAAGACTGCCCAGACTTCGGTCTTGTGGAGAGAGCTGGACTCCACTGCTGAGCTTTGAGAATCCTGGATTCTTACTGGATTTTGAAGGTGTCACATACAAATTCTTTGAGGTTCTCCTCAATGACCCACTCCATAAAATACCAGAACAAATCCCGACACCCATCGGATCTCGTCAGTGCACCGGGAGATGTGTGGGCTGCCATCTGCTGGTTGTTGTCTCCGAAAGAGCTTCATCGTTCTGACACTCACCACAGCTCTAGAGGGCACAGAACTCTCCAGCTCCATTACTGGTGATTTAAGTAATGTTTGTAAAATTTATGCCAGTAAATGATTTAGCATAGTCTCTCTCTCTCTCTCTCTCTCTCTCTCTCTCTCTCTCTCTCTCTCTCTCTCTCTCTCACACACACACACACACACACACACACATACACCTCAAACAAAAAAAGAAGGGAGAGTTGGCAGGTGTCAGGGCGTCCTTAGGGGTGCAGGGCTGATCCCAGTACCCATTTACTGTAAACCAAGAAAATGCCTTACCTGTCTTTGAGCCCTTCACAAAGACAGGGTGATTATGGCCTGTGCCCACCTGCCAAAGTCCTGCCTCCTTCCCCTACTCTCTCAAGGCCGCTGAGGTGCACCGTCCAGTCTTTCCCCGCCATGCCTTCCCCCATAGCATGGAGTTGGAACCTCAAGATTCTCAAGTCTACGAGTGCAAAGAGGTGAATCAGGAGAAACTTGGGGAGGAAAAACGTTCCACATGGAGGTGGTCAGGACCAGAGGGAGGCCCTGTGTCCGTGTGCCCTCATAGGAGTTAGCAGGAGGCCATGTATCATGTGCCTTCACAGCAGGAGATGCCTCTTCCTCTGGCACTTGCGGTCTTTGGCAGCCTCCCGTTAGCTCCGTGTAGTCCACAGCCTGGGTGTCCACACACAATAACCGACAACTGGGCCAACCTGGATTTAGTGCCTTGCTGGCAAACCAGCCACCAGGTGTGGATGGGGGATGGAGACTTCCAGACCAGTGTGAGAACCTAGGCATGTCCAGAGCTCAGTGGCAGTTCTGGGAGCCACCCATATTCCTCTGCCTCCCAGGGGAAGTGGGAACAGGGGAAGTAGAATGCTGAGAATCAGAGCCAGTGCTAATACAGGAAGGGGTGAGGAGAGGAAGGAAGAGATGGAGGAACTTCCTGCCTGGGAAAGTCACCCACTGAGAGGTCAAACTCCAAGGCGCCTGAGCAGCTAACTAAGGGCTGGAGGCCCAGTTCCAGCACCCACCATCCCCAGCTCCCGGGAGGCAGAACTGGCTGTGTACTGGTCATTGGGTCCCAGCAGCCTATAATTATGGCATAATGTATCTGGTGAGGAAACGACACAGAGGAGAGGGGGGATGCGGATCCCAGCTGAAGACAATGTCCTCAGTGTGTCCCCAGCTGCATTGCACCCCCAAGGCTGTGTATAAGGTGTCCCTGAGCCGGGCTCCTTTAGACAGTCTTCTGGAGAAATGGTGTGGGTCGTGTCCGGCTCCAACAAGGAGCCCAGCATAGCTTCAGGAGAGAGAAGAGGGTCCTAGACAGGCTCAGACCAGGACAGAGACAGTCGCACCCAGGGACCCCTTTCCTAGGCTCCCAGGAGGGGACACTGACATTTGTCCTGTTGCCACAGAGCCTCGGCCTCCAGTAACGAGGACCTCCAGGAGTGTCTGTACTCCCAGTCAACCTTCTCAGGATGCGGGGCCAACCGCTGCTCAGAGAACGCTGGAATCTGACCCTCCTGGCATTGGGCCCAGTTTCCATGGCAGCAGAGGATTTATTTCAGGCCTCCACCCAGCCTGGTGGACTTCGGACTCCAAGTCAGAGGAAAGACAACTGAACGCCGTTCCAGGAGCAAGGGGTGCCTGAAGATGGTGAGTGAGGAGAGGCGCTGGAGGGAAGTAAGTGGGGAGGCCCTTACCGGAGTCCCCGCCTGATTGTTCTGTTCTCTGCTGCAGGCCAAGTTCCTTTCCCAGGACCAAATTAATGGTAGGTTGGGTTTGTTCTTTAATTAGTAACTCCCCACAAAATGTGTGTCTCATTAGGCAATTTGCTTCACTGGGTTCTGTTGGTAGGAAGGAAGGCCGGAGGGGTGGAGAGCTGGCCCACCCACAGGCTTGGGGCCAGGTGCTGTTTGGGGGTGACGCTGAAGATGGACTTGCTGACTTCCCGGGGCTTGTTTTATGTCAGCGTGACTTTAAAGTTGGGTCACAGAAGAGAGCTTGCTAGTGCTCCTTAGAGCCTGAAAGTGGGTCTGGGTGGAGGCTGGTGATGGTGGGAGAGGGAAGATTAACGTAGGAACTGAGGCCCTAGACAAAGGGACGGGGCTTTGTAGCCGGTGCCGATGGGGAACAGAAGCCAGGGCTACACCCTTCGGCAGGGTATTTCTTTATGAGCGAGTGGTAGTCTCTGTAAAACTCGGGGCTCGGCTGACACCTCCCGCCTAATTCAGTGTGAGCACCTTGCTGTTAGGCTTCCTCCTCCGGAGCAGAGGTCTGCTTCCCAAGAACAGAAAGGCAGAATTGGGTTACACAGAACTTGGGCCAGACCTGGCCAGGGGTCTGGTGTTTGAGTATCTGGCAAAAGAGGCCCAGACTGGGACCTTCAGGGAATGACGAGCTTTCCCGAGGGCTGTGCCCCTAAATCTACCCCAACAGAAGATGAAAACAGCCCCGATGTTTACTTCTCCTTATTGGTGCTGAAATGGCACTTTGTCAGCAAGCGAAAAACTGCAGGTCCACAGGACCCAGGAAGCTCTGACGCAGGACAGTGTCCAGTAGGCCACAAGGGTGGCTTCTATTACTCTGGCAAGCATCCAAGAAATGTAAGTGACCAGAGCTTAGTCTAGAAGAGGGGGTGGCAGGGATGTGTCCTACCTAATAAGGTCCATGTGGGTACCTTCTAGAATCCTTAACTCTTTGATTTGGGGACAAATCAAGGCCAGAGAGGACAGACGAGGGGATTTTAAAGCGCCGGGCCTAGCCCACTTTTATGAACCTGGCAAGATAACTCAGTATTTAAGAATCTGTACTGCTCTTGCAGAGGACCCAAGTTTAGTTCCCAGCACATGTATAAGGACTGCTCCCAACCACCTGTAACTCCAGCTCCCAAGGCATCTGACACTTCTGGCCTCCATAGGCACCACACACACACACACACACACACACACACACACACACACACACCACACACTGAAAACTAAAGTCTTTAAGTTGGACCTAAGCTAAAGACCTCCTTCAGCCTCGGAAGTTCCTCCACCATGCCGGGATGACAGACTCACTGGTCCTCTCTCCTACGGCTTTTGAAACTATCAGAAAGGAAGAAAGCAAATTCTCTTTGTTTCCCGGGATCTGATACCAAGAAGGTAGCCATTAATGTTTAGTGACTGGAAGCCCGGGTAGGGATGGGCGAGGAACAGGGCCTCTGAGGGTCGCTGTCTGGTGGTTCACCTGGGAGCCTCAGTTTTCTCATCTGAGAGGGAGGGACAATGATGCCACCTTCTGGGGCTGCTGTGGGCTAGGGACAGAGGAGAGAATTAGCATCACATGCTGAGCACTGGGCATGACAAGTATACTTTTAAGCTGATATCAATCAGGTATTATTAAAGGGAAGGTGCCAGCTATGTCCAGTCTGTGCGGAAGCTGAGAAGACAGCTTTGCTGCAGTCAGTAGCATGGAAGCCTTGAAAGATGTTCCAGTTTAGGAGCGGGGGAGGGGGGTGGATCTCAGTTGGTAGAGCGCTTGCTTAGCATGCATGAGGTCCTGGGTTCAATCCCTAACACCACAGAAGCTGGATACACCCTGTATATCCAAACATTCCTGTAATCCCAACATTCAGGAGGCAAAGGCAGGAGGATCAGAAGTTCAAGGCTAACCTGGGCTACGTGAGACTCAAGAAAGCAAGAGGTTTCAGTTTAGTGAATATAATTCATGGTGAGAAACAGTTCACTGGAGGGCCACTTACTCGATTTACTGGAAGTATAATCTTAATTTACTGGGAAAAGAATTGCATTATTTCGTTAAATCGAAGCTGTGGGTTAACTATGAATACAAGAGTGGTCAAAATTCACTTGTAATGTTGAGTTGGCTAGATAGAATTTATTCTATTTATTTAGTTAGCTTTTGTTTTTTTGAGACAAGGTTTCTCTGGATAGCCTTAGCTGTCCTGGAACTTGCTCTATACACCAGGGGGCTTCAAACTCAGATCTGTCTGATTCTGCCTCCCAAGTGCTGGGATTAAAGGTGTGCATCACCATCTCCAGGCTACACAGAATTTATAATGGCGAGCACTGCATATTTTATTACGTGTGAATTGTGCACTGTACATCCTCAGTGCCTATGAGGTGCATGGTGAACGTATAAATGTGTGAACTGTGCAGTTCACATCCTCAGTGCCTGTGAGGTGCATGGTGAACGTATGAATGTGTTGGCACAGCTGTTACCCATTTTCCCACATGAGCCTTCGGTAGGACGGGAGGAGGCCTGGAGAAGATCTATTTCCTATTTGCACGATTTGCATATCTCTAAGGATTTTTAACGCAATGCAATTACCTCAACGTATTCTTTACTTCAGCAAGTGTCCTTCTCTGTGCCAGGCCTGCCCCGGGTGTTAAAAATTCAGCAGTGAGCAGAAAGATGATCCCCCCCCCCATTTTTGGCGACACAATCGAGGAGAGTAAACAACAGAATGGAAAGCAGTAAAGGAGGGGTGGCTAGACTAAGAGGATAGAAATGGGGGGGGGGACTGACGAGCAGGGTCCTCAGGGGAGCCAGGGCCTGCCTGCGGGTCCAGGTGTCTTCTTATCTTCTCCCAGAACAGTGAGATAAGATTGCAGGTATCTAGGACCCATTAAGCCTTGTGATGCAATACAGGGTCCAGCTGGCCCCAGAAGTGCCCACTTCTGGCTACCCAGGCAGGGATCCCAGAGATGTAAAGGACCAGAGTTTGGTCTAGAAGAGGGGTGGTGGGGTGGGGAGCAGGAGGGATGGCTCAGTAGTTAAAACCATCTGAGTTAGATTCCTGGCATCTACACTGGTGACTCACACCCACCCGTAATTTCAGCTCCAGGAATCTGGCTGTGCAGGTTTGAAGAGATGGACTGGGTCTGGTGAGATGGCACAGTGGATAAAGGCACTTACCGCTAAGCCTGACAATCAATTCCATCTGTTCATCCCACTCCCACATGGTGAAAGAGAACCAACTCCCTCAAAAGATACCTCTACCCCCAAAACACACAGACACCAACTAACTAACTAACTAACTAACTAACTAACTAACTAAAATGTACTAATACAGTTAAGAAATGAAAGCCTGGAAAAGAATACGCCCCAGTTACCAACTGGGGGAATGCAGTGTGCCTGTCTGGACAGCTAGCAAATCCTGGGCCCCTCTCTCAGGCTTCAGCGGCCTTCTTTGGGAAATGGAAGGGATTAGGGGATTAGGGCAGCTCACCCTAGAGAGTCTCCATCTGCAAAGCTAGGATCTTTCCCAGGCTCCCAGGTGGCTTGGTTTTGCCTCCAGGGGCTGCTGGGAAGAAACAGGACAGTTCTGCCAGCGGTGTAACTGCGATGGGCGGAGGCGGCTCCTGCACAGGGAAGGAAGAACTGCAGGCTGAGCTGAGGCAGGCACTGCTGATGTTCTGTGTATGCTTCCGGGCAGTTCCAGGTAGGGACCAGGACCTGCCAGAGGAGAGCCTGAGGGCTGCTCATGTGATGTGAGAGTGCACGTGCAGCCCTGGAGAGAGTTTTTGAGTGGCATCTTAAGGAACAGAGAAGGAAAGGAGGGAGCTTCCTGGCCAGATAAACCACAGGATACCCCATGACATCTGAATTTCGGATAAACACTCTTTTTGAGTCTATTACAGCCCATGTAGAATTTGATATGTGCTTGGTATCTGCTTACACTAAAAACAAATTCAGTGGGGGTTGGAGAGCCAGTCCTTTCAGAGGGCCTGAGTCAGGTTCCCAGCACCTATGTGGAGAGGTTTATAATCACCTGTAACTCCAGCTCTAGGGCACCTAACCTTATGGCCTCTTTGGCACCTACACATGTACGTGTGGCATTCACTACTAGAGTCACACATTCAAATCAATAAAAACAATGTATCTTCAACAATTTGTCTTTCTTAGAATTATATTTAACTTAGTAGTTTTATAACATTTATTTATGTACTGGTGTGAATGTACATGTACTGTGGATGTCAGAAGCCAACCGGCAGGAGTTGCTCTTCTCCTTATACCATGAGGGTTCTGGGGATCAAATTCAGGTCATAAGGTTTAGCAGCAGCAAATACCTTTACCAGTCAAGCCACCTTTGTTGCTGGCCCTTTGTTTTGCTTTTAAGAGACAGTGTCTTATATAGTCTAGACTAACCTCTAACTACCACATAGAGGATAACCTTGAACTCTTGAGTCTCGTGCCTTCACCTCCCAAGTGCTGGGATTACAAGCACGTGCCATCACACTGTGTTTTTATGGGGTTCTAGAAATCAGGTGGGGCAACAGAAAGGGAAGAGAACAGGGAAGAAGGGGGAGCTCAACACGGTGCCCACACATGTGCAGTGGGGAGGCGCAAAGGAGAAAGGAGTGAAAGCGAGGATGGGTGGAGTGACCATCTGCTACAACTTCCTTCCCCGCTCTGTACAGAGTACAAAGAATGCTTCTCCCTGTACGACAAGCAGCAGAGAGGGAAGATTAAGGCCACAGATCTTCTGGTGTCTATGAGATGCCTGGGGGCCAGCCCCACGCCTGGGGAAGTACAGCGGCACCTGCAGACTCATGGGATAGGTGAGTGGGCTTTTTTGGGGTGGGGTGTTGATTTTTGAGACAGGGTTTCTCTGTGTAACAGTCCTGGCTGTCCTAGAGCTCACTTTTATAGACCAGGGTGTCTTTGAACTCACAGAGATCCTCCTGTCTCCGCCTCCCAAGTGCGGGGATTAAAGGTGTGCATCACCTCCACCAGGATCCAGGTGGGCTTGTGAAGGGCCCAGCTGGAAGAAGCAGATGGTAGTGGTGGAGAGAGCTCAGAAGCCTGAAGTGCTGGTGGTAGCGTGCCTCACCAGGACTGTAGAGGTAGCTGGCCATGTACACAGTGTTTTTCCCCCTTTGCTTTCATTTTGAGATAGTCTCATGTAGCCCAGGCTGGTCTTGAACTCACCTTGTGTTAGCCCATGGTGATTCTCCTGCTTCCACCTCCTGAATGCTGGGCTTACAGATGTGTGCTACCACACCCAGCTCCTATATTTATGGGGAAATAGTCTTTTGCAGAGGGTTTGGCATATGCTTTGTGAAAACATCCCATCTGTTTAAGTCTCTATGTCATTACTGGGGAGCTGGTGGTCCCACAAAAGAATGATTACATTTGAAAATGCCTGCTATATTTGATGCCCAATCATAATAGTACTTCCTCGTCAGGACCACCAGCCCATAAATAACAACATGGAGATTTATTATTGTTTTTGAAATTTAACTTTTTTGAGTATTGGTGTGCAGGTGCCAGATTCCTTGGAACTGGAGTTACAGACAGTTGTGAGCTGCCGTAAGTGCTGGGAATCAAACCTACATTATCTGGAAGAACTGTCAGTACTCTTAACTGCTAAGTCATCTCTCCAGCCCCATGGAGACTTACTATTATTATTTTTTTTAAATATTTATTTATTTATTATGTATACAATATTCTGTCAGTGTGTATGCCAACAGGCCAGAAGAGGGCACCAGACCCCATTACAGATGGTTGTGAGCCACCATGTGGTTGCTGGGAATTGAACTCAGGACCTTTGGAGGAGCAGGCAATGCTCTTAACCTCTGAGCCATCTCTCCAGCCCCGAGACTTACTATTATTATAGATTGACCTTAGTTTAGGCTTTTTTCTAACCAGCTCTTATAATTTAATTGTTCCTATTAATCTATATTCTGTCACATGGTATCACCTCTCTTCCATCTTACATACACCTCCTGTTTCCTTCCTGTGTTTTGCTGACAACTCTACCTTTCTTCCTCCCAGAGTTTGCTTTTCTTTCTGGAAGTCCCACTTATACCTCCTGCCTAGCTATTGGCTATTCAGCCTTTTTTTTTTTTATTATACCAATCACAGCAATACATCTTATTCCACATATAAATATCCCATATTTCCCCCTTTTTGTCTAAATAAATAGGAAAGATTTTAACTTTAATACAGTAAATATAATGAGAACAATTATCAGGTAAAAATTACACTTGCAATGTCCAGGCCATCTGTATTTGGAGTTTTGGAGAAAATACTCTATTGTCTATTCTATCTTGATGTACTATTATGCAGCTCCACCTGGTTCTATGTCATGACGCAATACTCTGGGTTTCTGCTGTTACTTTAGCAAGATTGGGGGAGGGATTAATACACATAGTATCTTAGGCTTTTTTTTTTCTTTTTCTGTTGCTATAAAATACTTTGCCCAAAGCAACTTAAGAATGGGGTTATTTTAGCTCATGTATCAAGGTAAAGTCCATCAAGGCTTGAAGCACATGATCACATAGTAAGAAGGCAGCAATGATTGTGTAAGCTAGGACTCAGCCCACTTCTCCTCTGATATAGCTGGGGATCCCCTACTCTAGCTTCTCATCAACTGACATAATTAGAATGATCCCCCACAGGTATGCCCATAAGCCTTTCTCAAAATCAAAGTTCTAGATTCTGTCAAGTCAACAGTTAACACTATCACACATTGTTACTGAAGACTGTTGGGAGGATGAAAGAAACTTTCCATCGTGTGAATGTGGGTCAGAAGGAGAGCTCTGTCCCTCTTACCACGACCAGTGCCTTGAGAATTAGGTAGCTTTGGGGTTGGCTGTGACAGTCAGGCAGGTCAATGGGCTTCCCCAAGAGCAGTTTCCTCCAGCTCACTGGTGTTTGGGGTTTCGTAGACAAGCACGGAGAGCTGGATTTCTCCACCTTCTTGACCATTATGCACACGCAAATCAAACAAGAGGACCCAAGGAAAGAAATCCTTCTTGCCATGCTGATGGCTGACAAGGAGAAGAAAGGTTACATCATGGCATCTGAATTGCGATCAAAACTCATGAAACTGGGAGAGAAGCTCACTCACAAAGAAGGTAACAGCCTGGCTGACTTGACTCGGAACCACCTCGGGAGGGTTAGGGAATTGTGGGGAGGGCAATGCTATGTACACTATCCAAGGCTGTGCAGATGGCCAACTGATGAATGGCCCAGGAGCTCTGTAAGTATGAGTAATGCTGGCTAAGAGCTGGTGGTTGAGCCCTATCAAGGCAGAACCAGAGTGGACAGGCAGAAATGGGCCAGGGTAGAGTGTCAGCCCAGAGACAACCCAGTTGGGATCCTAGGAACAGCGGTAGCTGTTTTCATGTGATCAGCTGGGGCATCTGCCAGGACTCACCTTGCCAAAACTCTCATTGAGGGTCTTGATGTGGCCCAGGATGATTAGACATGCAGCTCAACACAAAATCCTGTGCTTAAACATTTTAAGTATTTTTTAAAGACCTTTATTTATTGTGTGGTTATCAAACATCAATGTTTGTAAGTGATAATGCGTCAAAATGTCAAAAGGCCACGACATGGGCTGGAGAGATGGCTCCATGGGTAGCCTGTCCCACAAGTTTGGATCCTGGGAACTTGGGTAAAAAAGCTGGAAAGGTGTGTAGCTGCCTGCAATTCCAGCACTCACACAGGAGGCAGAGCAGGATGGCAGGACAAGCTGGCCTCCTAGACTAGGCTGAACTGTGGGCTCCAGGCTCAGAGAGACTGCCTCAAGAAAAGGTGGAAGGCCACAAAGGGGATAACAGATGTCAATCTCAGGCTTCCACACGTGCTGGTGCACTTGCACACACGTGCCTACATACACACAAACAGGCATACACATGTACACATAAGCCACACACTAAGAGCTATGACATAATACATACTGGCAACACACATGGTCCTTCAATTGATAGAAAGGGTCAACTAAGTGGCGAGTGGCTCTTGAGTAGAGCTAAGGCAGAATGCAGGATCCAAAAGCCCCTCATTTTCAGGGTCATCCTCTCACCACAGCTGGCTCTGATATGGCCACTGATAGTATTTCCAAATGGAGAGACTATTATGCCCCTTTCCCCAGTAGCCCTAGGAGCTGGGAGTATGGGAGCTTTTCAGGGAAAAACTAGCTAGAGAAACCTGCCTTGGCCACAGATCATGAGGTGGTCTTGCCTATTACATTTCTTGCATCACAGCAGGATGAGTGCCTGGGAATTTTGAGAAAGCTCTATGTACATGCTTGGGCTATTTGCAGTCTTTCCAGCCTGCCAGCACTCTAGTGAGGGCACAACTGTGGACCACGGTCTGCCCCTAGCCTGCATCATTGATCTCCATAGTGAGGCTTTTCAGGTTGGCTGGCCAGCTTGAGGGCTTAACTTAGGTAGTGGGTTGAAAAGGCCCCGATGCCCCTAACTTCTGGTCAGACTACAACTAACCAGGCAGAATTTTCAGGCTATGGTTTGAATTGAGTTTGAATCCAGGCCCTTCCTTCAGGAGCCCTGGAACGTATTTCTTCCCCTTGCTGCAGATGAGGCTGTGACAGATATCAAGGAACTAGAATTCTATGGAGCAGCCTTCTCAGATTTTATCTGCACTCAGGAAGGTCCTGAGCCTTTAAAAATGGTGCCTGGCAGTAGATTTATCTCCCAATTTCTCCCAGCTGGCAGCTTTTACTGCAACTTTTTTTTTTTTTTTTTTTCCGTGAAGAGGGAAAACTGGCCTGCCCTTATCTCAGACTCCCACTGCTGGTGGAGTGTCCTCCGAGGTGACAGTCAGGTCCCTAGACCTCCCTCACACATTAGCATGCACAACACTCTGGGAAGGAGCTGATGGAGTCTCATTCCCCCTCTGGCTGCAGTAGAACAGAAGATACCAAAGTAATAACTATTTCTCCTGGGGATTTGGAAGAAATGCTCTGTTCTATTCAAAAGCATCGTTTGTATCAGTAGCACCTTCCCCTGCTATCACCCAGCTGTGCAGTGCTGCCCTCTTCTGGTCAGCATTGGGCTGTGGAGTGCTGCCCCCTTCTGGTCTGTCACTGATGCTGGAGCTGATTCTTGGCCTGTCCTCTGCAGCTGGCAACCAACTGGTTGGAGGTTAGAAGCTTTTCCATGAAATAAGATGCATCTGTCTCCTCAGGCTCAGAGCACCTATGGGTTTAAAAAGAGAACTACATTCTATCTATCATCTACCTACGTATGTATGTATGTATATATCTATCTATTCATTATGTATGTATGTGATAGGATCTCACTATAAAGATCAGGCTAGCCTTAAACTCAGAGATCACCCGCCTCTACCTGCAGAGTTTTGTGATTAAAGATGTGCACCATGATTTCTGGCTAAATTAGTATCTTTTTAAAAAGCAATGCTACTTTCAGACAGATCTTATTTGGCAGCCATCGTGGCACAGGCCTTTAATCCGAGCACTTGAGGCAGAGGCAGGCTGATCTCTGTTGAGGTCCAGCCTGTGAGCCTAGTCTACATAGTAAGTTCTAGGTGTAATACCCTCTCAAAACAAACAAAAAACCTGGCAGAATTTCAGAGAATCCATATGGACATGGGTTAAATAAAATGAAAGGAAAAAATATTTTGTGTATGTAGCACTGTGAGGGTATGCTGTATATGTAGAGGTACCTGAGGTGGGTAGAAGAGGGCATCAGATCCTCAGGAACTGGAGTTACAGACAGTTGTGAGCCACCTACATGTCTACTGGGAATGGGATTAAGGTCCTCTCAAGAGCAGTATTGTGTTCTCAACTGCTGAGCCATCTTTCCAGGCCCTGAACAGTGCAGCTCGATGTTCTAAACTTCAGATGTATTTGGATTTTTGTGCTTGTACATTGACAAAACGCATCTTTCAAATTAATGCTAGGGATCCAACTCAACCCCAAGGTGCACGTAACCCATGTGCTCTTGTCACCCACCCTTTATAGTGAGGTGATGGTAACAGAGCACGTGTCACTCGGTATTCTATTGGCAGGTGAGCAGTGAGGGGGGAGGTGGGTTGGTCTGGAGGGGGGGCAGGAACGAGCCCGGATCAGTGTGACTGTGTCTGGAGCTGTGGATGATGCCCATGTGACTGGAAGGTTGCAAGAGTGGGCTGTAAGGTAAAATACCCACACTAAAGGTTTCCTGAAAGACAGACACAGGGGTTAAGTGTTTATTTAAAAGAGTTCTGTGCTGGCTGCCAAGCCTGTTAACCTGAGTTTGATCTCTGGAACCCACATGGTAGGAGAGAGTGGACTGCAACAAGCTGCCTTCTGACCTCCACACATGTGGCATGAACAATAACCATTCCCCCAATAAATAAACAGATGTTAAGAATTTTTACAATCAAGTACAAGGCAGCTTCAGTGACTGACTCCTCATCAGTATACTTTGTTCATGTGCTGGTCCCGCAGAAAGCAGGAAAGTTGAACTGGTGGTCTCTGGGGCCTTGGAAGCAGGTTATCCTTCTGTTTTGGTTTGCATCCTAGTCCATGGGAAGAGTCCATCAGATTCTCATGGAGGACTTCTGGGAACCCCTAACCTCAGCAAATCCAAATTGAAACATTAATGTGATTTATTGCAGTGGATGATCTTTTCAAGGAAGCGGGCATCGAACCAAATGGCCAAGTGAAATATGACACATTTATCCAGCGGATCACCCTTCCTGTGCAAGACTACTGAGAGAGCTGAGGTCCAGGGAGAAGAGGATGAGAGCTCCGGGGCCTGAAAACCTAGACTATTTTTTAAAAGGGAAATCTAGAGATGGCAAACATGGCAGTAAGACCACATTGCAGGGGATTAGTACCAATAAATGATGTAGCCATGGTATTCCTGTAATAAGTCTGTATTGATTTTAGTACTAACATTAGTCTAGCCCTCTGCAGCATGGAAAGGCCTATGATTTGCAGTCAGGTTTGTGTGCCAATTCGGGCTCTGCAATTTCATTACCCTCACCTTGGGTAGACCATTGTGCTTCTCAAAGCATTTGGATCTCACAAGGATGATTATGATTTGAAAATGGTTGGCGACTTGGGAGCATGTGGAATTGGTGTTTCCATGGTAGTGTTTTTTCCAAAAAGCAAAACAAACAAACCAGTCTTCTAGAAGACCAGTCTACTTTTGGGTACAAGAACCACCTTTGGCATTTCCAAGAGAAGGCTAGAGTTGGCTGGGAACAAGCAATAAGCAGTGTCTGTACACGCATGCACATATAGAGAACAACGAGCACAGACACACACACAGAGAACCACAAGCAATGTGCACACAGACGCAGCGATGAGCACAAAGCATGCGCACATACTGACACACCATTCCTTACAGCTCTACAAGCCCATCGATAAATCCTCATTCCATTTCACCAGGCACACAAAGTGCAGGATGCTCTTTCATAAACAGGGATAAAGTGGAAACATACACTGGAGTGAGTGTTAAGTGTGGGATCAGCTGAGTAGTGGCAGGTGATCCAACTTTATATTCCACACCAAAGGAAGTGGGGGGGGGAGGGGCTGGCCCTTTCCCTTCAGAGGCCTTGAAGAGTTAAGCAACATCTCTGATGTTCCTGGAAACATTTGCTGAAGCTGTGCCCTGTGCTATTGTTAGGTTGCAGGAACCAGGATGGTTTGCTCAAGTGACCTGGGGTAACCACAACTTTAAGTCATTTTCTTGGAACTACCAGGATAAGGGGATATACCAGGTCAGGTCCCGATCTGAGAGGCCTTGAAATCAGAGTTGGAACCACCTTTTCACCTAGAGGTCCTCTTGTGACATACCAACGTAGGTGGAGTGTAGAACTCTGAACATGGAGACCTTCAATCCTTTGTGTTAGGACTGGTTGTGTTTTTTTTCCTTAGTGAAAACAGAAAGACATATCAAGACATAGGTGTCTCCTGGGAAGTTTGACCAGACACATATTTTACTAAAGACTAGGCTCTGGGAATACTCCAGAGGACCAAACAGTGTCAGTCTTGATTCAGCTACCTCACAGATGCTGTATGGCTCAAACCAAACAGAAGACTTGAGAAAGGAAGGCCTCATTTTCCTGAAAGTAGACACTATGTGTTCCCTGAGCAGCTTGAATATAGGCAACCTGGCAGATTTCTTTAATACAAAAAATATGCTAGATAATAGTGGCACACGCTTTCAAAGAGGATTTTGGTCTGTGGCCAACATGATATACAAAGCAAAAGTCTATCTGGGAAACACAAAGAAAAAAAAAAATAAGAATTTCTGGGCTGTTCAAGGGCGCCTGGAAAGAAGCCAGAGCAAGTCAGAGCAACACATAGTAAAAGTCTTCATGACTCCCATGGCAAGTCTTCCAAATAGGGCTTCCAAAGAGAAGGCCTATTTCTCTACCAGATGGGAAGGTTCCAGACCTAACACCTGACTCCAGCCATAGATTCAGAGGCACATCTGCTTGCCAGTCTAGAATACCGAAGACCTGACAGGTGCTCTGTGCTGATGCTGTACGTGGGACAGGGTGATGAAAAGTCTACCCTACCTTTACAGAAGAGGTATCTCCCCAATGTGTTCTGAAGCCTGTCAGCAACTGTATTTTTTGTTTGTTTGTTTGGTTGGTTTGTTTTTCGAGACAAGGTTTCTCTGTGTATTAGATGTCCTGGAACTTTCTCTGTAGACCAGGCCAGCCTCAAACTCACAGAAATCTGCTTGCTTTTGCCTTGCAAGTGTTGGGATTAAAGGTGTGCGCCACCATATCCTGCCTGTAGTGCAGATTTAAAGCATGTTTTCTGAACCATATTTGGCTGAGTGGAATCTCCAGCACAGCTTGCAAAGAGCACACGGCTAATGGGCGGTCTGCATCACCTGGGCTGACTTTCCCCATTCAATGCTCTAGTCATGGTGAGCTCAAACTCCTGAAGCCTGATTTACACAGCCATATCAGGAGGCTGTTGCTTCAGGGTCCCCATGTGTGCATTTTTCAAATTCTAACAGGTTTACCTAGCACCGGGCTTGCTCACCATAAAGAGCGGAGAGGCCCAGGTGTTTGGACAGCAGATAGACAACAAGTACCTTTTAAATTTAGTGCTGTGGTTCATTACAGAGCTAGCTGTATTCCAGTAAGGAAGGTCAAAGCATGATGTAGAGCTATCAGTTACTTACTTGTCATGCTCTGAAACCTCTAGATTTCAGGGGCCCTGGGAGCACGTTGCACCAGCACTTTTCTTATGGGGACTGTTCCTTTATAGACCCAGCAGTAGTATTTTACAGACCACAAATTAACTGAAGCCTTTTCTTTTATTACATCTAAAGAGCTCTACATAAACAGGAAACATTCAATAGGGAAACAACTTTTCTCCAATGCATGTAATAAATATTTTCACTTGGTACTTTTATACAAACTGACATTGGTCTACTATACATTTTTAAAAGCCATTTTACTGGTTTGGCATGCGGTATGGAAATTCTAAGAGAGAAAGTTTTAAGGCAATGAATCACAGATTTAAGTTCATGGAATTTATGGTAACTTTTATCTATTTATATACATTTCCCCTTTGTTAATAAAACAGCAGCAGCACACTCTGGGACCACCAGATATTCTCCCCCCCCCCCTCTTTGAAATCTACACTTTATGTTTAATTGAAAACAAAACCAAAACAAACAGAATGCAATGTGTATCCATAAAGCAAAGTTCTTACCAAAATAAATTCAAATGTGCTTTTAAGAGTCCTGAAGATCCTGAAAGTTTTATGTACTTAAAATTCAAACTGCTTTAAAAACGAGGTTATTTCTACATGTATCCATTTACAATTGGGATATATTTTCACTCAGTTTCATACACTTGTCCTCAAAGAAAAGTTGGCCGAAACACTTCCCACTTTTCAAAACTTAGGTGATTCTTTAAGTCAGTAATGCAGATGTATAATACCTAAATTAGCAATGGAAAAACTTTGGTCAACCAAGTATGATGCATGGTTAAGTTTTTTATTTAAAAAATGTGTTCAGTAATACTTACGTAGTAAATTAAAAGCCACCCCTACCCTGCTAGTTGAACAGCTACTTTTCTGATGATGTGTGCTTACAGATAGATGGGGCACACACAGTACTATACACAGCACATGTGAACATGCTAGTAAGAAAGACTAAGGAAGGGGGTTCCTAGCAACTTGCTGAAAGATACTGAGAACAGTATTTGTCCACATCCTATCAAGGTTGGCAGGGCTGTGGAATGAGGGTGGGCTAAGGAAAAGCAACAAAAAGAGATGGAGTGACCATGCGCTTTTTCTTGTTAATGTAGGAGACAAAGCAGTGCATGACTAATAATTACTAAAGATCGTGAAAGTCCGTGACTGAACTTAACCATATGTAATGTTTTAGGAAGTCAACAAATGAAGAAATAAACTCTTTTTGACATGGAACGAGCTAACATGACCAAAGCCATGAACATATATTTCTCACTGTTACCCACTCTCCCCTTAGGCTGATACAATGCAGGACATGGAAAAAAAAGTGACCGTTCCTCCACAACTGGGCTGAAGAATGCAGAGGACTGGTTTTTCAAGTGGATCGTTCTAAGTTTGTAATTCAGCATCAAACACAAAAACTGCTGATCAGAATCCTAAAACCACTAACAAGCTAAAAAAAAAATCCAAGAACAAGGAAAACTATTCATTTCATCTCAGATAGTTGAAATAACAAAAATGTTTCCTATTGCAATGCTAACAGAAATAGCCACAATTTTATTGATTCCTACTCTAATCTCAACTTAGACACAAATCAAGACCTTATCTGAAATGAGCCTAAATTAATATAGCACTGAAAAAAAATAAATCAAACGTGTACTCACCACACCCGATAAAATTTAACAACGTAACCATTTCTGGTTTGAACTGACAACAAATGCCTTGTTTTATTGCGGATTGTTTTGTGACTAACACAGCCGTTTCTGTGTGGAACACACATGCGCAGGGGAAGACGATGTTACTCACACACACTTGTTTATAAATACATATATACACACACACATATACATATCAACACCAACTTTTTCAAAATTCAAGTTGACAGTTTAGTAGCAGAGACGCTATAAAAACATATTTTTAGATGCCACACTGTCATGTGAACCATTCACTTTATCATACAACTGAAGATACAGCAATCTTGACTTCTACCTGCATTAATATAGGTCCTTCGTTACTGATGCAAGGTTTGAAAACAAGTTTACTATACACAAAGGAGGTCCTTCAACTCTGAGAACACGAAGTTGTAACATAAAAAGCCAATCTGGGAACTGGATGGTGTGCCCCGTCCTCTCTGCCAATAAACCCGTGCCCATCTATCTTCACTGTAAGAACACTGCATCTTCTCTGATGACTCAAGTACGAGAAGCACTTTTTCCTTCCTTTGACCCTTAATCATTTACTGAAGAAAATTTTAATATATTTACATATTCTGCTATTGAGAGTAGGTAAGACCAAGTAGATATGACTGATTCTTGAATTAAAAAAATAATGGCTTCCTATGTCATACTTGTCATTAAAAGCTGAGTAAAAACAAACAAGGCTAAGAAAAGAAGTATATTTAGAACCACAGAAACAAAATAACTAAGGTTATTGTTGAGTTTCAACTGTTCATCAAACAGATTTGCTACAGATCCACATGTGGGCTGCACTGTACTGTCAACTTTAGGGTTTTTTTGAGGTGGTACAATGTCCTCTGCCAGTTGCACATGATACCCGTACCCCACAGGGCTTCCAGGGCTCTTTTACATCCCACTTTGGTATGAAGATTCTCAAAAACTTGTTACCCTGTGACCAAAATGCAGGTACTCACAGATTTGGCTGACACACAAAATACTGGCAATTCCGATTCAG